CACTCCTCTCCCAACAATCGATAGAGCAACTAGACAGAAAGTCAGCAAGGATGTAGAATATCTCAACAGCAACATCAACCAACAGGTTCTAACTGACATTTATAGAACACTCCACCCACCATCAGCAGAATACACATAAAACATATACCAACATAGATCATATCTTGGGCCATAAAAAATACTCAATGCATTTATAAAACTTGAAATCATACAGGATGTGTACTTAGACCACAATGGAACCAAACTAGAAATCAATACAAGTAAGATCACAGGGAATCTCGAAACACTTGGAAATAAAACAACACACTTCTAAAAGCATCAAAGAGGATGACGTCTCACTGAACTGAATGGCAATGAAAATACAACATACAAAAATTTGTGAGATGTGGCTACAGCAGTGATGAGAGTGAAATGTACAGCACTAAATGCTTATATTATAAAAGAGGACTGGGCACATACCCTGAGAAAACCATAATTCAAAAAGAGTCATGTACCACAATGTTCACTGTGGCTCTATTTACAATAGCCAGGACATGGAAGCAACCTAAGTGTCCATCGACAGATGAATGGATAAAGAAGATGTGGAACATATATACAATGGAATATTACTCAGCCATAAAAGGAAACGAAATTGAGTTATTTGTAGTGAGGTGGACGGACCTAGAGTCTGTCATACAGAGTGAAGTAAGTCAGAAAGAGAGAAATAAATACTGTATGCTAACACATATATATGGAATGTAAAAAAAAAAAAAAAGGTCATGAAGAACTAGGGGCAGGATAGAAATAAAGACGCAGACGTAGAGAATGGACTTGAGGACACGGGGAGGGGGAAGAGTAAGCTGGGATGAAGTGAGAGAGTGGCATGGACATATATACACTACCAAATGTAAAACAGATAGCTAGTGGGAAGGAGCCGCATAGCACAGGGAGATCAGCTCGGTGCTTTGTGACCACCTAAAGGGGTGGGATAGGGAAAGTGGGAGGGAGGGAGACACAAGAGGGAAGAGATATGGGGATATATGTATATGTATAGCTGATTTACTTTGTTATAAAGCAGAAACTAACACACCATTGTAAAGCAATTATACTCCAATAGCGATGTTAAAAAAAAAGAAATCAAAATAAATCAATTTTCAAAAGTAAAAAAAAAAAATAAAAGAGGACAAATCTCAAATCAATAATCTAAGCTCCCTCAAGAAACTAGAAAAAAAAGAACAAAACGAACCCAAAGCATGCAGGAGGAGGGGAACAATAAAGATAAGATATCAATGAAATTGAAAAAAGAAAAACTGACAGAGACTACCAATGAAACAAAAAGCTAGTTCTTTGAAAAGAGCAATAAAATTGATAAAGCTCTAGTAAGACTGACAAAGAAAAAAAGAAGATCTGTATCAAGAATGAAACAGGGGTTATCACTATAGATCCAGACATCAAAAGGACAATGAAGAAACACAACTCTACACAACATAAATATGACAACATAAATGACATGATGGATTAATTACTTGAAGAGCACGTACCACCATAACCTACCCAATGTGAAATAATCCGAATAGTCCTTTAACTATTAAGGAAATAGAATTTGTAAGTTTCTAAAAGTCTCCAGGCCCACATGGTTTCCCTGGAAAATTCTGACAAACATTTAAAGAAGAATTAACATAAATGTTATACAATCTCTTCAAGAAAGAGAAGAGCAAGGAACACTTCGCAGTTCACATGATAAGCCAGCACTGTCCTAATGTCAAAACCAGACAAAGGCAATACAAAAAGAAAGCTTCAGAACAATATTCCTCATGAATATAAAAAGACAAGCATGTGAGGAAAATGTAGAGCAATGGGAATTCTCTTATACTGCCGGTGGGAGTGTCAGAAGGTACAACCATTTTGGGAAAATGGTTTGGGATAGTCTACTCAAATTGAACATCCTATAGCACTTCTACTCGTGGGGACAATAGGAATGTTCCCATACACTCCCCAAAGACCTGTACAAGAATGTTAGTAACAGCACTATTCCAATAGCCCTAAACACCCTCGTGTACGTCAGCAGTAGGACAGGTAAGCAAATTACAGTATATGCACATAATGGAATGGGATCCAGCAATGGAAATGAAAAAACTTCACTTACATGCAATATCATGCATGAGTCTCACAAACAAAATGCTGAGCGACAGAAGCCAGACACAGCAGCGTGCACTCACGATCCTATTGATGTAACTGTGCTTCAGAGACAAGCGCAGTTACCCTACGGTGTTAGAAGTCAGGAGAGTGGTTATTCTTTTGGAGGCTGCTGCCCCGAAGGGGATGTGGGAGACCCAAGAGGCTGGTCATGTCTGTGTCTTGATCTGGGTGCTGGCTACACGGGTGAGTGTGGTTTATGAATATTCATCAAGTTGTATTCTTAGGTAACGTGTAACTTTCCTCTATGCCTGGTGTATTCCACTGTAAGTTGACTAAAATAGAAGAAAAAAGCCTACTGGATCTGGTGACATGAAGATTGTGGGTGAGCACAAGTTGTGAGGAAGTGGCAGGCTGCAGGGATCTAAGGTTAATTCCAATTTTACAAATGGTGACACCAGAGCACCGAGCAGTTCAGTGACTGGGTTTAAGGCTGCAGAGCCACTGCGTAGCAGAGCAGGGACTTGAACCCAGGGAGCTGCTGAGCTGGCGCTCACTCACTAAACTAGCCTGTCTCTTATTTTGAGAGCACAGAGGCAATGATAAAGGAACATCAAGACGGGAATATGCAAATGCATGAGTGTATGAGGCTACTTTAGGAAGAGCAAACAGCTGTAGCAATTCGATGCTCTTGTGGATGTTCCTTTATCACAGTGGCTACACAGGCTGGTGACCGACAGTCACAAAGACAACCAGGTGTCATGTTAGAAAAGAACAAGGATTTTAGTACACTAGATTTATTGAGGCAGGGAAATATACAGTACATTTTTGAAAGATTTGGGGTTAAGAGACAGACTCTGATTATATCTGAAAAAATAATTTACGTTAGGTGCTTAATTCTCTCTCAATGCCAGAGAAATGCAGAGCGTGTATGTGTGCTGTGTATATGCACAGGCTCCGCTCTTTTGGGGTGCAATCATATTTTGGTCTTGAAGAGAAAAAAAATTCTATGTCATCAGTGTTTTTTAAAAGCATGGGATTTACGATTTTGTGATTAGGTCAGGGTATATATAGGATATATAAAGGATAACTTAATATAATCAGTGTTAGAGCAATCACTAAACTGCCACATAAAAAACCACTGTCCGGAGTCTCAATTACGAGGGAGGATTAGGGTATGAACGTCATTCATTCTGTCAGCTGCTTTCATTGTAAAAGACAGGAAGGTGTACATACGTACGGACCGAAAGCAAGAAGGATGTGACTGCTAGATTCACAGTACAATACTTTCCACAGCTACAGACTGAAAAGGAGTAGTTAATGAAGCAAAATGAGTAAACTAAAGGTTCTCACTGCCTTAGAGAATGTTTCTAGTTCATCCTTGATAACTAATTTTTTTAAATTGTGTTTTCAGTGGAAACATTTCCTGGAGATAATTCTGGAAATTCTTTCCAAATTAAGGAAGTCTCGCTGAATGAAACAGTCTGTAAATCCCTTTTCCAGTATCAAGTATACACACTCTACATGTTTGCTGTGACTTAATCCACAGCAAACATAGGTCCAATCCTATCTGGACCTCCACTGGGAAAAAAAACACAAGAGATGAAATCATTTGCTTGTAGACACAAAGACGAGGAACCAACATGAGGGGTGAAATCGTTCCCCAGATCTGCCAAGATTGCTGGGTTGTGGATGTCTGACGGGCCTGCTGCATGCACCTAGAAACAGATCAATAAATCTCTAAAAAAGCCCGAGTGGCCCTCCTTGCTCAAACTTTCTTCACTTGGGCTTTTCTCAGCTGGCCAATCTAGTTTCAAACTGCATTGAGTTCTATCTCACACCCAGTCCCTTCTTTGATGCCTCACCTTCTCTTACAAGGCGAGCAAGCTTTTCTGTGATCTCACAGTCATATCTGGCTCAGATGCTCTTCCCGGAAATGTCCTTTGATCTCACCTCTACACACTCTCTCGGTACACTATGTGCGTTTGCATGTCTAGACAGCTGCAACACCTGCACAGCATTCCACGATACCTCTGTATAAAATTCACCATTCCAAGATGACCTGGACAGTATACGTGTCTTGTATCACATGTAAAAATGACACAGAAAACCTCTCTGAATTGCCTTTATACCTATCATGTTTATCCCACCTTGACACGATACAAAACAGGTGATGAGAAAAAGGAAACAGAAGTGGAGGAAAATCTGTCTTTTCATGTTTTCAAACTTGCTTTAAAATACAAACATTTCCCGAAATGCAGAAGTGAGAGTGATGAATGTTAATTGAGTGTTTTATCACCTTAACTGACTGATCAGAAGAGTATTTATAAACCCCTGACTGATGTCTCGAGCTGATAAATCAACACCAGGGGAGAACATTTCAAGCACATTTATCACTTAAGACAAACAGGCTATTCTGAGCGCGATTATTTTTTATTCATCGTTTTAGCTCACCTCTACCTTTGCTTCCGCTCAATGTTAATAATATCTGTATAAGACTTCTCAATATTTAATGCTGAAGCATGCTTGTTGCATGCTGACGAGGTGAAGCTCACACATTTGATCTCCAGAAAGCCAGTAACCTTTCCAAAAAAAAAAGCTCTATCTCACATTGAAGCCTGATCCCAGGCGGCTTCCTGATAAATAGTTGCTGTTGGCTTCGATGCCATGAAGATCACAGAATTACAGTTTTATGGGAAATTAAAGCCAAGATATTTGAACAGACTGGCCCAATGGCACAGAATCTCGTAATCAGCAGAGGATACCCAGCGTCCTAGAGCATCACAATTGAGCATTTGTATGACTCAGTTAATACCCAGGACAGTCTACCAGATTGGCATCATCATATCACATTCAGAGAACGGCAACATCAAGGAAAATCTTACCTGTTCATTCTCCTCTTCATCGCTACTTAGCTTAAGGTCATCTTCTAGCATTCTGAAAGAGGGAACAAAGAGGTACAGATACTTAGAAAATTCAAGAGAATTTAGCACCAAAATACCTGTATTAGAGCAATGTTTCAGTAATGAGCGTATTAGATTTACTAATTAAAAAAAAATGTTTCCTTTTGAGCCCTTTTCCTCTGATGCACTTAGGAAATTACAAACTGCCACATCATGAAAATAAACCCTCACAACAGCCAAAGGACGTGATGACCTGCTTCAGGAATATGAGGTTTTTGGGCTTCCCTGATGGTGCAGTGGTTGAGAGTCCGCCTGCCGATGCAGGGGACATGGGTTCGTGCCCTGGTCCGGGAGGATCCCACATGCCGCGGAGCGGCTGGGCCCATGAGCCATGGCCGCTGAGCCTGCGCGTCCGGAGCCTGTGCTCCGCAACGGGAGAGGCCACAACAGTGAGAGGCCCGCATACCGCAAAAAAAAAAAAAAAAAAAAGAATATGAGGTTTTAAACGAACAGAGTCAAATAGGTGCTTTTCCTTGTGAAGTTGTAATTCCACAATTATTTGTCCAGTGTTTTCCATGTGGCGGGTGCTGAGCTACATCTCCATCACCATTCGTGGGAAGCAGAAGGAGAGAGCGGGCAGAACCCTGCCGAGAGCTAGAAAACCACAAACTCAAGTTCTCAGAGCAGCTGCTGGGCCTTCCCCCATCAAAGATCTGGAAAAGAGGGCTTCCCTGGTGGCGCAGTGGTTGAGAGTCCGCCTGCTGATGCAGGGGACATGGGTTCGTGCCCCGGTCCGGGAAGATCCCACATGCCACGGAGCGGCTGGGCCCGTGAGCCATGGCCGCTGAGCCTTTGTGTCCGGAGCCTGTGCTCCGCAACGGGAGAGGCCACAGCAGTGAGAGGCCCGCATACCGCAAAAAAAAAAAAAAAAAGATCTGGAAAAGACAGCTGCCTGAACATCCTACCGGATGAGGAAAACCAAATAGGAGGAAACTTTCTGGGAAGACTCTGGGGAGGAACTCCCCAGAGCCCCCTGGGTCCCTCAGCTGCGTCATGACAACCGCAGTGGGGAAGCTTACTTTTGGGTCTGTAAGAGTTAAAAGTTAAAAAAAAGAAAAAAGAATTTGAGAAAGAATATATGGGTATGTATAACTGAATCACTTTGCTGTACACCTGAAACTAACACAACACTGTAAATCAACTATACTCCAATATGAAATTAAAAAAAGAGGATATATTAAAAAAATTAAATTAAAAAATTTCAAACATTATTTCTGACGATGATGAAACTGTATTCTTATCAGTATTGCTGATTTATTTCTTTGTAGAATAATCGTTTTCAGATGAACTCATTTCATAAGAAGTCTCACTCAGAAGTGTGTTCTACACACAGATGAATGCAGAGCTCTTCTGTCCGGAGTGAGGGGAAGAGTCCGTCTTTGGATGGACCCTGGGGCTCCAGGGATCAGTCTGGAGGCCACTGAGTCCCTGTGCTCGAAGGCCTCGCTCTCCTCTCTGAAATCACCTTCAAAGTCCAAAGACTGGCCCCTAAAATGTGTTGTTTCCTATAAAAGCCAATTATAGGCCTATTGTAGATACATTCCTCTGAATATTTTTATAAGTAATTTCAGTGACTTTTGGGGTGAGCTTGGGGTAAAGATCTGCCAGGGCAGGGCGTGGGCCCACTTCTGCCTCTCACGGCTGTGTGTTTGGGGCAAATCAATAAACGGCCCCGCCCCCAGCCCCATTTCCCTCTTTGTAAAATGAAGGGTTGTGCTGGACATCTCCAAGGTCCAGTCCTCCTTTAGCGTCCGAGAGTCTGCAAAATAAATGTGCGCCCTATTTCCTAAAGTAAAATGACTCCTGTATTTGTTCTAAAGAGCACAGTTGTGAAATTTTAAAGCAATTCTTGGTATACCATTTAAGCCATAACCATTAGGATACCAAATCCCCCCTGGCTACAGCTGTTCTACCAGCAGCAAGTGGTATCCTTCTTTTATTATTCAAACCAGAAGCAAACAAGCCAAACACTGGCAAGGACTGCACAGCTGCACCTCAACCGCCCTTTACGTCTGTGTGGCACGTCACTCATTTCCCTTGACCTCGCAAACTTGAACCTGGGCTTCGAAGAGAAGAGATACTGGTGATTTATTATATTAGAGTGCTGTTGGGGGAGAATCTAGGCGAGGACGGTGTTTCCTTTGTCCTGGGACACTACTGACCAGCACGGTGATGGCACAGAGTACAGTACCAGTTGGTTGGCCGGGCAGCTACGATTTTTTTTGTTTTTTTGTTTTGGCTGCGTTGGGTCTTCGTTGCTGCGCATGGGCTTTCTCTAGTTGTGGCGAGCAGGGGCTACTCTTCGTTGCGGTGCGCGGGCTTCTCATTGCAGTGGCTTCTCTTGTTGCGGAGCACAGGCTCTAAGCGCACGGGCTTCAGTAGTTGTGGCACGTGGGCTCAGTAGTTGTGGCTCGTGGGCTTAGCTGCTCCACGGCATGTGGGATCTTCCCGGACCAGGGCTTGAACCCGTGTCCTCTGCATTGGCAGGCGGATTCTTAACCACTGCGCCACCAGGGAAGTCCCCCCATAATGATTTTCCTACCCAAAGGCACAAATACGTTTCTGATGAAAAGGACCAGAGAAGTCAGGACAGTTTCTTACCCCCCACTCCTCACTCCCTCTTTTGGGGTCAGCTGCCAACTGCAATTCGGTTTAACCTCAAGGACTGCCCTGTAAACACTGGGTGTTCACAGTGTGGGTGGTCCCGTCGGGGGATGGGAAGGGGGAGGGAAGGACACACAATCGTTTTTAATGACCCCCCGTTAGATGGAAGTCACGTCAAGGGTGCCTGAGTAGTTTCATCTGTGTATGGGCGACAGTGTGGACAGATTTGAAGGCCATGGCCAACCAGAGCAAGATGCCCCTAAATGTCCCAAAGCAAGGGATCTTAGCTTGGCCGCACACCCGTCCTGTGACTCGGTTACCACATGAAGCTGGCAGAGTAAAAGCTGTGTGTGGGGTTCCTTTTAAGGTAGGGAGTAGAACTTGTTTTGTTTATTCTAGGTGCACGCTAAATGTGTCAACACATGAACATGTGTCTGGTTGAATCTCAGGCTGCCTTTCACACCCCTGATCCTGGGAGAGTCACACCTCTGGGCCATGGTTTTGTCATTTCTATAGTGAGACTCAGCTCCCTTGTCATCCTTTCCAGAAGAAAAGCAGTCAGAGATCCACCTCACTTTGGGAATAGAAATTATCACTGAATTTACCTCTCTTATGTTAAAAAAAAAAAAAGATTAATTGTGTTTCTGGTCTGAGATCCAAAAACAAAGGATCAAATGTAAAAACATTCTGTATTCAAGAGAGGCTTGGAGAGAAGTCAGACTCCAATAAACTTCAGAATGTCTTGGAAAAATGGGAACACCGAGTCTGAGAGCTCATTCACATTGCACAGTAATCCTGTGAGCCTGCTGCTACCAGCAAGAGGGACCGCATTCCTGGAACAGACGGTCACCACTGCCCGGCGCCCCAGACCCCAACAGGCATGCGCTGAGATGACTCAGTCTCAAGGCCACCCAAGAACACGCCCGGCCCTTCTGCATAATTCTGGTCACAGTGGAGTCCCTGTGACTCAACTTCCAAAGCACAGTGCTGGTCCTTTTTAATGCTGGGAAAACCAGAGTGGCTTCTTAGAGAGCCTGAGGAGGAGCTGAGGAAGATGTGAAGTTAGAGAAGAATACGGAAGAGCTGGGACCACTCAGGAGCCTGAGAGCTGTCCTCATTTGGTGAAGGCTGTGTCTGCCTCCATCGAAACACACAAATGGCACCATCGGAGCAGTCCGCCCCCAAATCTGATCCCACCTGCTTGACAACATGTTTATCATCTATTTTCAAAAGGAATTACACTGGCATAAGTAAATTAAACAAGAATAATAATAACAAAAGTTTTAAACCAAGAGTGAAAGAAAATGCAAAGTAAGTGTTGGTTAGGACACAGGGCAGAGATGGAAGATACCTGACTCTGTTTTTGAAAAAGCAAGGAAGGCCAAGACTCTGATGCTCTGAAGCGTTGAGGATGGAGACTGGGAAGGGTCATCAGCACATAAGTGCAGGGCCTGTGCTTCAGCATCACACTGACTCGCAGGGCACCCTGACGCACCTCTGCGTCCCTACACCCCCCTCATCTGAGCACCACCAGGCCTTCCTCCCGATGGTGACGCCCACCCACCCACAGCCACGCTCCTTCCATGTCCCTTGGCGCCCACTCCCCCTTCGTGTCCCCGCAGCACCCTCCTAGGTGTCCCAGCTCCTGTCCAACCTGACCTCATTCAACCCTACCTCGAGGCGGGTGCTGCCGGAGCAGCAGACCTCGGGGGTCTGAGCACAGACTCTGGAGTCAGACTGCCTAGGAGGAACCCTGGCTCTGCCACTCAGCTTGCTTATTATCACAGAACCTTGTGCGGAACCAACATTCAACGCATGTTCATTTTTCATTAGTATTCCTCTTTTACCTCTGAGGGCCATGCCTTGGAGCGTTTAAGAAACTTGCATGCGTAAACAGTTTGGGACAGATGTTTCTGTAACAATGCCTTAGAACTAAGCCATTTGCTCTGTTTTCAGGCCATGTTGAGAAGAAAAGATGGCGTTTTCTAGAGGTTGCGGAGGGGGATCTATTTTAGGATATAACTGCTGCCATGGTTGATCGATCTGACGTGAGTTCGTGCCTGCAGAGGACAGAAAACATGGCCACCAGCCCGAGTGCACAGGGGACATATCCTGGGAGCCTGTGGTCGGCCACACAGCCTGGAGTACCCACAGCCTGATGACAACAGCTGAAATAAAACAGATAATAAAATCAAACTCTGCGAATGAAGGCCGGAGAGCAGAGGTGCAGCCAGAGGTACAGAGAAACCTGGACTTCGTGCCCTGAGCACCTGAGCAGCTGTCACACTGTGTCCAGAGCACTTCCGGTCAGTGCCTGGTGGTAACTTCACAGTGGAGTCTGACCAGACAGCTGACTTCACAGTGGGACCC